ACTCACTGAATCAGAATGTACATTTTCACAAGATTCCTTGGATATCTGTATATCTGTTCTATGAAATTAGGACAGCCTTTTCAAGGAGCAAACATGAAGCACATATAGACTAATGACAATGGAGACAATATAAAAGTATGAGTTAACATTGAATGAATTTAAAGTACTTTCTAAATTAAAATTTATTACTTAAGTGGGAAGTATTTGTGTTAATAAGATACAGTCTTCACGTACATTTTATACCACAGTAAAGGTACTAAATAGTATATAAATTAATGTGCATTTAGCTCCCTTAAAAATATTTAGACATTTGAATGAAAATGTTCTTTTTTAAAATCAATTTTAAACCTTTATATCAGGAACAATGTGTTTCTTAGAAGTGCATTAATGCTAAGTGCATTTAAAACACATATCAATTTTTTTTTTTTTTTCATTTAACACCTATGGAGCATGTCGTAGTCTGTTTGGGCCACTATAACAAAATACTGTGGACTGGGTGGCTTAAACACAAAACTTATTGTCTCACAGTTTGGAGGCTGGAAAGTCCAAGATTAAGGTTCCAGCAGGGTTTGGTTTCTGGTGAAAGTTCTCTTCTTGGCACTCAGGAGGGAGAGAGAGAATTTAATTATATCAGATTAAGGCTCCACCCTTATGATCTCATTTAACCTTAATTACCTCCTAAAAGTCCTATCTTCAAATACAGTCTCATTGGGGGTTAGGGCTTTAATAAATGAATTGGGGGAGTGGTGAGGGGAACCCAATTCATTCCATAGCAGAGCATATGCTGAAAGTAGGATAGAGTGCTCTCCTCTGCCGGGAATACTGAGATTTAAAAAACAAACAATGCCTTTAAATAATGGGATAAACTGAAGGTACTACTACTATTATTCTTAATAACAAAAATTAAATTTCTGTAGTAATAGATGGCATGAAAAATGTATTAGATTGTTAATCTTGATGCTTGTGGCAGGTTATTGTATTCATTGAGGCCTAGAACTTGTTTACAAGTTTGACTGCTACCATACNTTTATTAATATGTATTTTCTTAAATCCTAATGACATCCAGTCTTTTTCTATCATTTCCTTGACCAAATCCAGTGAAGGACCCAACTGTGTCAGATGGATTTGTTCTCTTTTGAATATCAGAAACTCTTCTTAACTTCTTTTTTCAGCTGATGAACAGGTTTTACTATTTTTTAATGGAAAAATAAGGGTTTATTCATAAAATAGATGTAGCTATTACAAGCAAAGAGGTGGTTCTACACATACTTTTCATATGAATCTTAAAAATAAAATGTTGAATGTAAAAAGCAAATGCCAGAATGATACATACTGCATGTCATCATTAATGAGAATTCTCAAAATACAATCGCAGTATAATATGTTGTTTTATGATAAATATCCACAGGGGTAAAATTTAAAAAGACATGCATGGAATTTTCAAAAGAGTATTTACTACTTTGGAAAGGGAGAAGAAGGAACAGGGTTACAATTTTAGCTTTGTCTGTAATGTTTGAGCAAAAGAGAAAAAGAGAAGAGAAGTGGAAGAGAGGGAGAGAAAGAG